GCATGCATTAACATGAGATTGTCAATACCATTGACATTGTCATTGTTACAATTGTAATCGGTCAGTTGCAAGTTTTATAACTTTATAGGTTACCAAAATCTAAGCGAAACATTGCAAAGATGCAAACATACAGTATAGCAAATATATAATGCAGCCAGGATCACAATCATAAAATATGAAGACATATAGGTGTATGATTGACGGTCATGCATACTAGACCTAATATAAAGTACCTAACATTTAATACAACATACTCATACTAAATCAATATATAAACTCCTCATCTCAATTAAATTGGCTTAGGAAGACTGTATGAAAAAAAAATATTTGCATAAATTTTGCATCCTGTAGGTTGCAGGTTGTTCTCGTCATGCAATAACATCGCTTTATATTACGCCGCCTTTAACCATGATGATAGCTACTGATTTCGTCCTGTGACCTTTCTAGAGTACCTTGACTTTCTGGATGATAAGCTGACGAGTTGTATTGTTTAATACCTAGTTCGTGCATAACTTTTTGAAACAACCCTCGCGTGAAATTCGAAACTTGGTCAGACTGGATGGATTTTGGAAGACCAACTAAAGTGAAAACTTTGTAAGTGTTTGTACAATGGTTTTAGCCTTGATATTTCGAAGTGGTATTGCTTCAGGAAAACGTGTCGAAACACACATAATTGTCAATAAATATTGGTTACATCGCTTAGTTTTAGGTAATGGTCCGACGCAATCAATCATAATTCGGCTAAATGGTTCTTCAAAAGCTGGAATTGGTTTTAGCCGTACTTTTGGGATAACTTGATTTGGTTTGCCTACTACTTGACAAGTGTGGCATGTTTTACAGAATTCTGCCACGGTTTTTCGAACTCCTGGCCAATAAAAATGTCGTATCATTTTCTCATAGGTTTTGTTTATCCCCAAGTGACGTGAAAGGGGTGTTTCGTGTGCTAAACGTAAGACTTCCTCACGGTAAGGTTTTGGGATAACAATTTGGTATCGAACTGACCATTCGTCATCAACACTAACATGAGGTGGTCGCCATTTCCGCATTAAAATATCGTTTTTGATAAAGTATCCCATTGCCTGGTCTGAAATTTCTCTTTTATCGAAAGCTTGTTGAATTAGAATAGCTATTTCGGGATCATTATTTTGCTCGTGAATGAGATTAGATGTTGACAAGCTTTTTGTGTCTATCGCATCGTTTTTCATAATCTGTGTTGTTTTAGGGCCACTAACAAATAACTGTGTAAGAAAAGTATCGGACAAATCATAGGATGAATCAAGTTCATCCCTTTTACTCTTCTCTAATTTTTGTTGTTTTACCATTGCTCTTTTGTGACCGCACACGATGGATATAAATTTGGAATTTCTTGTTCAATGACGTCGGAAATTGATGTTGAGCATGGTTTGTTTGTCACTATTGGATTGACTGTCACTTTTTCACCCGCAAGATCGTTGCCTAATAACAATTGTATTCCATCGAAAGGCAACGTATCGATGATACCTATCGAAACATCTCCGGAGACTAAATCTGAGTGCAGTTGAATGTTGTGCAAAGAACTGCACTATAATCGCTGGAGTGAACTCCTTTTATCAAAACATTGTTTGCGGAACATGATTCCGCAGAAAATGGCAATGTCTTTGTCAGTATTAAGGATTGAGACGCTCCAGTATCGCGTAATACTTGAACTGGAATAAATTGTGTTCGATTGTTCAAAAGTGAAACACTAGCCGTATTTACAAATGGTTCAAATATCTTCATTATAGGGTCAGCATTTGCTTTGACCTCTATTAAATCCTCTTGAGTATCACAAGCATTATTACTATCAAAAACAGATGTTGTGTTGTTGTCCGGTGTTGAAATAACGCCGGTTGGTTTTGTTGGATTTTGGGGATTTCTGTAGCAATCTGACATCGTGTGCCCCTTACGCTTACAATAGTCACAATTGATGGTACTGAAAGGAAAATTATTTCGTTTGTTCGGAAATTCCGATGCTTTATTCGGCTGGAAATTTTGTGCAGGTCGTCGCCAACTTAAATTAGTCGTGTCACGTGATGCTCTGGGATCACATTCCCCCGGTTATCGTGCGGATATTTTCTGGCCGGTGTGTGTCTGTTGTCAAAATTATTTGGTTGTGATTTCTTTTCAAATGTGGTCTTGTGAGTCAACGCGAAATCGTCTGCCAAACGGACCGCTGCAATGAAACTGTCAGGTTTTTGTTCATTTATAAATGTGCGGACTTCGGGGTTAATGCAACGTTTGAATTCCTCAATTAAAATCAGTTCTCGCAAATTTTTGTTTTCTTTATTGATTTTCTCAGATTAGCACCATCGGTCAAACAACTGTTCCTTTACTTGAGCGAATTGAACATATGTTTTGTGGTCAGTTTTTTCGAAGCTTCGAAACTTTTGGCGGTATGCCTCTGGAACCAACTTGTAGCCATTAAGGATAAGTTCCTTTACCGTATCATAATTCGCTGATAATTCTACCGAAAGTTGCGAAGAGATTTCACGAGCTTTACCAAGTAATACACTTTGTAACAGCATCGTCCAGCGGTCTTTTGGCCACTCACAATTTGTGGCATTTTTTTCGAAATGTAGGAAATATTGGTCGACTTCCCGTTCCTGGAAGGGTGGAACCATTCGGACATGCTTGGTAACGTCAAATTTATGACCCGAACTAACTCTAAGATTTTGCCCGTTTGCTTGAACTTCTAATTCCAATTTTCTTAACTCTAATTCCTGCTCCCTCAATCTAAACTCTTTTTCTTTCTCCACTCTTTCTCTTTCCCACTCGCGTTTTTCTCGTTCTCTGTCCGACAAAATTTTCTCATGCTCTCTCTGCCACTGTCTGTCTTTCTCGCTTATTTCACTATCTTCACTGATACGTGTATTTTCTGCTGTAGTTATACTTTGTTCCATGAAAACAGACTGTTCGAATGTTTTTTCTTTAATAATTTACTTTCAACAATATGAATTAGCGTCTCTATAATATTATAATAATATAGTATTCTTAATATATCAACTTATCTCTCTATTTGTTTGCGCTGAGTACAACTTTGAATCTTTATTCTTTATGCTTTGTATTCCGTCTTCTTTAATGATTCCACAGTATTCGAATGTACTTTAGTTTACTTGACGAGGATTAACTATCTAGCCTTTTAATTATATACTTTAGCCTTTGTTGGCTTATGAAGTATTTTAGCCTAAATGGCTCTTCTCACTTCATTCTCCGCTCCTGACTCTCAGGTTGTGCTCAGCTTTTATAATAAATATTAGAGTAAGAAATCTATAACTAATTTCCTCTACGCAATATGTTTGTCAAAGCAAGTTCTAAAAGTGTTTATCAACCACAAAACCATGCGTCCTGTTTGCGTGGTTTGTGGTACCAGGGCCGCCCAGAGGTGGGGGGGGGCAAAGGGGGCAAATTTCCCCGGGCCCCGAGTTGCTGAGGGCCCCTGAAAATTTTTTGTAGGGCCCCAGTCTTTTTTGTGTGTTAAATATTTCCGCGCAAAGGACAAGATATGTGTTTTCTTGGGCTCAGTACCGAATTTTGGCATAAAAAAATGAGATAAAGTCCCTAAAAGCATTTGCAACGTACTCGTCGGGCAAAATTTTGTACTCCGGAAAAATGTTTTTACCCGTAAAATGGTACACTGTCCGAAAATTTTTTGGCGGCCCCTAAAAAAAATTTGCCCCGGGCCCCCGCCAACATCTGGGCGGCCCTGTGTGGTACTAGGCGTTTCCCGTAGTTCTTTAATCTCTCTAAGTATTTGCTTACTCATGCGAGGAAGGTTACCTAAGGTCGTCCTCTTATAATTATAACAGTGCTGAATATTTAGTATTGAATATATTAAATAACATGGTATAACACTGCCATGTTACAATATATATATATATATATATATATATATATATATATATATATATATATATATATATATATATATATATATATATATATATATATATATATATATATATATATATATATATATATATAGTATATATATTAAGATGAAAATATTCTAGAGTGTGTATTACACACTCTAGAACATTTTCATCTTAACATATTACAGAGTGTACAATTACACAACACACACACACATATATATATATATATATATATATATATATATATATATATATATATATATATATATATATATATATATATATAGAAAAAAAAA